AACACGACTGATGTACTCTTTGGTGAAAACTTATCTCCACAACGATCCTGATTGTGTACATAACACAAACAACCAAAGACTCGCAAATGATTCAAATTAGGAGATTTACCATAAATAACTTCATAATGAGATTTTCCTGGTAATAGAGAAGAGGGAGTGCGATTAATGAGGTAACCCGGTGTCAAAATACATTCACCCCAGAATTCAATAGGTAAAGATGTCTGAAACCTCAAAGCACGAGCTACATTCAAAATATGACGGTGTTTACGTTCAACCCGTCCGTTTTGTTGTGGGGTACCACGACAAGAAGTCTCATGAATTATGCCTTGAGAATTAAAATAATCATTCATACATTCAAATTCAGTCCCATTATCACCCCGAACAATTTTAACAAGGGCACGAAATTGACGATGAACCATGACTAAATAATTTGGGGTCAACGTCACAGAGTGTTTGTCGGGTAACAAATAAATCCACGTAGCTCGTGAAAAATCATCAACAATGGTAAAAAAATAATGACAACCAGAAAAACTAGGTGTCCGATACTGTCCCCATAAATCAATATGAATAAGATCAAAACTTCCAGTAGTCTGACTAGTACTGTTAGGAAAACTACTACGACAATGTTTGGCACACATACAAATATCACATACAGTAGATGGTCTATGTTTAGATGTGCCAGCATGAGGAACCAGTTCCACAATCTTCATAGACGGATGGCCCAAACGACGATGCCATAACATGAACTGATCATCTGGTGACAAAGAGACTGGAGCAGCGACAACCTGTTGCCGAAAATAGTAAAGACCACCAATACGTTCACCTGCACCAATCACTGTCTTCGTAGTGCGGTCCTGTAAAACAGAAGTAGATCCGGTAAAATGCACAAGGCATCATGTCTGAGCAATCAATTGGGATACCGAGATCAAATTACAATACAAGTTGGGGACATAAATAACATTGTGCAAAGTCAAATCAGGATTCAATCCAACAACCCCTTCTTTAACTGCAAAAATGTGTTCTCCATTGAGCAGATTAACAGGACAATTCGAAAGATCAGAAACATCATGCAAAAACTCCAAGTTACCAGTCATATGATTAGAGGCTCCAGAATCAATTATCCAATGTGTCGAATTAAAGTTACTTGAAAGCTTTTCTGTCTGATTAAGTTTGGCAGAGCCCAGCAAATTCAGCAGGGTCTGCCACTGCTCATTAGTCAAACCTAGATGATCTGACCTGTCAGCAACATGCACCGTTGTATCCCGTGTCCCCCCTGAAGTCCCTACGGTTGCATTAGCAGCAATAGTACCACGGCCACGGCCACTAGAGGTGCCACGACCACGTCCAGCCCCGTTGCCTTTGTCTTGAACCATACCCTGACCCATACCGCAACCTGTTGTTTTAGGGCGTTCCAGCCACCATTTAGGATACCCTATAAGCTGGAAACAATTATCAACCTCGTGTCCAGGCTTACAGCAGTGGGTACACACAGTGTTTCGATCCTTATCCTTTGTTTCACGCCCTCTGTCACGAGGAAGAACTTGTGCAGCGAAACTGGTAACTTCTCCACGGTCTTCTTGTATCTGCGAGTAAGTCCTTGAGCTCTCATCCTGGGTAAGTACGGCGTACGCCCGGCCAAACAGTAGGTAGATGCACTTTTTCTTCAACACGTTTCTTCTCTATCCTTTTGGAGAGATCACACGTACACTTGCCGCAGGTACACATGGGAAACTGATCAAGGTCTGCCAAGTCGTCCCAGAGTTTCTTTAATTCCCCATAGTATGTCACCATGGACATACCTCTCTGTTTACAATCAGAGAACTCCCTTTTTAGTTGCTGAATTCTGGGGCCGTTGACAATCGAAAATTGGGACTTAATATCATCCCAAAGGTCACTTGCCGTCTCAATATATGAGATACTGGATCGAAGCGTAGGTTCAATCGTGTTCCGAATCCACGATACCAACAATGAATTGTTGGTCCACCAGTCTTTATAATCAGGCGAATCTTTATCAGGCTGAGGTATTGATCCGTCCACGAATCCAAATTTCTTTCTTGCACGTAAAGCTGTTCGTACAGCTCTTGCCCACTCCTCATAATTTTCACCACGTAACTGCACTTGCGTGATGATACTACCCGGGTTATTGCTGGCGGTCAGATCATATAGAGAAATCGTTCGCCGTTGTGGAACGACGACATGCTCCTGAGAATACTGTTCGTAGAATTTTCTTCCCTGCTCTCTGTACGACGATCACCAGTCATGATGACAGCTGGGGATGCGCACAAGACAGAAGATCGAATAGGTTAGAGCAGCCCTAGGGCTCTGATACCAAATTAGGGAAAAATATTCCTCTATCCTTCTAAGCAGCACAGTACAAAATATATATACATCTAGCTCATGGGCTTGGGCCCTCCCTACACTATACAGCAACTCAATAAAAGAAATACAAACAGAATAATATCTAATAATATCTAATACCTAATTCAATAGATTCAACAATTCAACCATTCAATGAATTTAATCTTACCTAATTTCATCAATTTCAATGAATTCACCCTATTCAATCAATTTGATAGGGAAATAATGACACATTAGTTTGAGAAGTCTTAGAGGCCGTTTGGAACCACTGTTTTTCGGCTTATCAAGCTTATCATCCAACTTTTTCACCAAACACGTAACTTTTGCTTTCGCGCGCTGAATTGTGTAATAAGCGGAAAAAATAAGGTTGTAGTTACTTTTCTGGCTGCATTGGCTGAAGTTACTCTAGATGACCATTTTAGCTATTTTTACATATAATTTTTTCTTTATTTTATTAATAAAATATATTTTAAAAATAATTTTTTCTTAAATCAGCAGAATCAGCCAATGTGACCACTTCAGCCAGAACTTCATAAATTTCAGCACAATCAGCCAAAACAGCCGATTTTCGTGCTACCAAACAAGCTCTTAATATACTACTACCTCCGTCCCTGAATTTACTTCCAAAATAAAGTGGCACACAAATTAAGAAAGCGAGAATTGTGTGGTGGAGAGTTGTGCAGAGGAGAGAGAAATGCTGTGAACCACAAATTCTTTGCCAAAAAGGGAAAGTGAAGTTCTTTTTGAGACGGACGAAAAGGGAAAGTTGGAAGTATTTTCAGAGACGGAAGGAGTAAATTTTACTCTTATTTCGATACTCTTCTCTTGTCAAATATGGAGTGAGAAACTAGGCATTTTTTTATTTACACCCGTACTCGGTATTATTGTACTCCGTAGAGTGTAGCATTTATGCTAACGTCTAAACTCTAACGTGAAATAAGTACGGAGTACTTCAGATTTTAAATTCATACTCCGTATTCGCCTACTCGAATTAATTACGTAGTACTTTTAAACGTATCTAGTTATTGTTGAATATTTACTTCCCAGAGTAATCTTCCAGTCCGTCCCTTCCTGATCGGAGCGCTGTCCGGCCTCCTCCTTTTCAGGAGGTTCTCGGTGGAATTTTTTGCTCAATTTTTTTTGTGTATGTTCCTCATCAAGTCTAGTTCATCCATACCAAATTTGAGCAAAAAATTCCATCGGGAAAGGCGTCAAATGATTTTTGAAAGTTAACTGGTCCGGAATATACATATAAAACGCAGTTAACTTTCAAAAATCATTTGATGGCCTTCTCGATGAAATTTTTTCTCAAATTTGGTATGAATGGACTAGACTTGATGAAGAACATACAAAAAAAATTGAGTGAAGGCCGGACGACGCTCCAGTCAGGAAGGGAGGAACATGAATAATCCTCCTACTTCCCGATCCCATCTTATTATGAGTGTTTAGTGATAAAGGCGTAGAATAGGAACATGTATTAGATCACCCATTATCGATTATATTTAATTTAAATTCAATTATGTGATTTTTTTAACATAATAAGTAGTGATTTTCAAAATGTAATACGTAGTACGGAGTAATATTTAGTAGTTTTTCTCTTCAAAAGAAGTTTTTTTAAAATAATAAGTAGATGTTTTTTAAAAAGAGAAAAATAATAAAAATACCCTAAAGTTTGAACTGGTGTGAGGTAAACACCCCAAACTTTGCATATGTAATTTAAATACTTCAAACTTTATGTAAAAAGTTATTTTGGCAACATTATTGTCATGTATGTATTATTTCTTTCAAAAATGTAAATTTATAGGGTTAATTGCATAATTTAAAATAGAAAATTAAAAGTGTTGCAACTCTATAGATTGGGTAAAACATTATTTATTTCACAATGGAAGTTTAGAATATAATGTTACTTGTGTCTTCATGAATTCTAAAATATTTAAAGTATGCAATTAACACCATAAGTTTACATCTTTGAAAGAAATAATACTTGACTACTGCATTAAAATAAGTTTTTTTATAGGGATTGGGGTATTTAAATTATATAGAGTTTGTGAATTCGTTTATTTTAATCTTTACTTAATATATAGGTTTTTATTTTAAATAGAATAAGTAATTATCGGATAATGATCTACAAAAAGTCAAGAATTATATACTTTATTATTTTATTTCAGTTAAGATTAGTAGTTAGCAGCACAAAATATGATTACCATAACTTTAATATATAATGTATGAATATTATACTCCATTACTAAACATTTAGAAATTATGACATTGTTGTGACACTCATAAGGAGGAAGTCACATGTTCAAAATAAATTTCAATTAAAAGTATTGATATTTAACATAACAAATACTATAGTGCGAAAAAATACAACAGAAAAACTTATAGATATTTGGACAATAAAAATTATCTATATTAATTATAGCTTTACAATAAAATGAGAAGAGAAGAAGTGTGTTATCTCCCCCAAAAAATTATCATTGCAATATAGCTCCACTTAATACAATTTACTACGTACGTAGTACTCCGTATTAATTATCATGATGTGATTGGAGTCTTTAAATACTCTTTTAATCAGCAATTTCTTTCCACGAACTCCAATTAACTTGAATATTGTATGGATTTGTAATAAATTAAACATGCAGGCCACACCGAGCACGTACGCGTTAGTTGTCAGTGTAGAGGTTCAATCCCTCAATTGGTACTTCGGCAACGACCGGTCCATGCTAATGACCAATTGCATTTTCCGACTCGGCGGCGCAGCGGTGCTACTCTCGAACCGGCCCTCCGACCGCCACCGGTCCAAATACAAGTTGGACCTCACCGTCCGCACAAACAAGGGCGCGGACGAGAACAGCTACTCCTGCGTGCTCCAGAGAGAAGACGACGCCGGACGAGTCGGCGTCGCGCTCTCCAAAGATCTCATGGCTGTCGCCGGGGAGGCGTTAAAGATGAACATCACCACACTCGGCCCGATCGTCCTCCCCTTCTCCGAACAACTCATGTTCTTCCTCGCCTTAACGGCGAGGAAGGTTTTCAAGAACAAGAAAAAGATCAAGCCATATATTCCGAACTTTAAGCTCGCTTTCGAGCATTTCTGTATCCACGCCGGCGGGAAGGCGGTTCTCGACGCCATCGAGAAGAATCTAGTACTCAGTGAGTGGCACATGGAACCTTCTAGAATGACATTGTACAGGTTTGGGAACACTTCGAGTAGCTCTTTGTGGTATGAGTTGGGTTATGCTGAGGGCAAGGGGAGGATCCGAAAGGGGGATCGGGTGTGGCAAATAGCATTCGGGTCGGGTTTCAAATGTAACAGTGCAGTTTGGCGGGCTTTGAAGAATGTAGATGCAGCCAAGGAGAAGAGCCCATGGATGAATGAGATTCACCAATTTCCAGTTCCATCCCTCTATCTCTAAACTATTCCTCTCTCTCTTTTTATTTAACTAAACTTCACTTTTTAAGTTAGTGATGTTAATTGAATTTGATTGATTATATATTTACATGTAGTATTAAAATGATATGAAAATTTTCTTTATTAAAAATAAATCGCAAAAGTATGAATTTATTATATTTCTCATAAATATACGTAGTATTATTTAAAAGAGAAAATGGTCAAATAAGGTCTTCTACTATTATGAAATCGTCACATAAGGTCATGTACTCAATAAAATGTCATATAAATACGTCTACTTATAAAAACAATAGGATGAGTCCTAATGACCCGTTTACAACCTCTTAATCCTGATTTTAGTTTACGTGTCAATTTTTTTGACTTTTATTTCAACCAATCTTAGGTAAATATATATCCTGATATAAATACGTCTACTTATAATCTATTAAAAAATCTTAGGTAAATTTTAGAAAATTTTGAATTCTTTCCCTTTGGTTGTATGTGACACTGCCATCTTTTTAGTTATTTTTCATATGTTTAGTTATGAGTCTTTTGAGTCTTTTGAGTAATACCTTTTCACAAGCAAAACAATATTTTTGTAGAAATAAGTTTTTGTATAAAAAATACTCCGTAATAAGTAATACTCCATACTAGTTTCTTGACTCACAGCTAGAAAAATGAAAAAATGTGAAACAAAATAAGATTTTATAAAAAATGGTACACAACTTTTAAGAGGGGCGTAGCCAGTACTGATGTTTACCCTTGGCCGACTATACACTAAAACATTATATAAAAATTTTAAAAGCACCAATAGTGTGAACATAATGATTAAAATCCATTAAACTTCATAGTAATATTTTTAAACAATATATACAAAGTTTGAAACTAAAACGTTAACTGACACAAATGACCTTAACAAACTCAACTATGATAGACTCAACATCGATTTTGTTGGCAAATTCCTTTTCACATCAACTTTCTACGAAAAAAGATAACAAAAACATAGCATAGTATTTTGTTAACTGGCTATAACAGGAAGTAGTAAACACAATTTGTCTACACATTTCAATCGTGTAGAAGAAATGAATACACCTTTAAACCAATTGTTGGGGGATATTTATTCCACTCAAGTTTCTTTTGGAAGGTTAAACAGAGAAATTGTAAAATTGAAACAAAACATGCCTTTATGTAGAAATAGTTGGGGGTATCTCATATATACTTCAAGTCTATAACGGAGTGTTTGCGGTTGCTTAAAAAAAGCGTTTTTCAGCTTTTGAGTCAACAAGTTAAACGGAGTCTATAACGGAGTGTTTGCGGTTGCTTAAAAAAAGCGTTTTTCAGCTTTTGACTTTAAAAAAGTTGAAAAGAGTGTTTTCAAATGACAGCTTCTACTTAAATTAATCACTTAAAAGCTAAAAGCTGGAAGAAGGTGGAAGAATGCTTTAAACTTTTCACTTTTTTTCTATTAAACAAAAAGTACTTATTTTACCAAACACTATCAACTTTTACTTTTTCAGAATAACTTTTTTCTCAAACACTACCAACTTTTACTATTAAGTACTTTCTACAAAATCACTTTAAAAAATCACTTTCTTTTAAGTAGAAGCAATCGCAAACGCTCCCTAAATGTTCTCTTAAGGTCTTACACATATTCCAAGCAAATATTTTTACCAATTTTATAATTTTTGAGTTTAATTGTTCTAGGAGAAGGTCGAGGAGCAAGGTTTTAAATAGCCGTAGTAGTAGTGGTAGCGGTCATCGCGGTAGCGGCCTGTAGCCGACTGTAGCGCGGCTGCAGCGGCGTGAAATATTTTCAATTGCGCAAAACATAAATGTGCTTTTTCACATCATTCACACAACATTCAATTTTGAGTTTCATTCCATGCATCACCATTAATGTATTTTTCACATCATCGACACAACATTTACACATTTACACATCAAACAGTTAGTGATGTACTGCCAGAAATGTCAATAGCGGGCTGTAGCGGGTGGCGTAGCGGATTTTTCCCGTGATTTGGAAATCACATACAAATAGCGGGCTGTATTAGCGGTAGCGGCCCCTACCGCGACCGCTATATAGCGGCCGCTATAGCGGTAGCGGGCCACTATTTAAAACCATGTCGAGGAGTATATTTGATATCTGACATAAAATATTTAATACAGTAAAACAGAGTAGTTTTTATATTTTCAAGGTAGTTTCTATGGTACCCATAAGGTACCATACCTTTGTCCATATGGACCAATGAAAAAGTAGCAGTTGAATTAATTAAATCTAAATTAAAATTGATAAAGCGATGTGGTCCAATCAAATTAATGCTAGGTACGGTACCCCTGTTTTTAGAAAGGTACCGGAGTTGTCACCTATTTTCAATTAGTATTTATTAAACGGACCAAAAGAACTCTACATGAATTCCAGCAACTCATAGAAAATTTTAGAAACCAATAAGGTAAGCATTAAAACGTTTCAAAGCAGTCTCTTTATAAAATCACCGTCCGTAGCAAGATCTTATATTTTATCTTAAGTAATACTCCGTATGAAGTAAAAAGCACGCATATGAAATTTGGGGAGGGACCTTGAATTCCTCGGCGGCGAACTTGAGAACGGCGGCGAACTTGAGAACGGCGGTGAAGGGAGCGGCCTCTGGGGGCAAGAGAGAAGAACACAACTTTGAAGCACTCAAGAATCAAGTCATAGCTCTAGGTCGCTCTAGTTGCGCAGTCCTTAGACGACCAGGAGCAGACGGTGTCACGGCGAGACCTCGGCGACCAGGGGCGGAGCTAGAGCACTAGGCCGGACTGGGCCGATACAAAGAATATTTTTTGAAAATTTTTTACACGGAATTTTTTACACTAAAAATACAAGCATTTTTAAAATTTGGGCTGGGCCAGGAGCCCAGGACCAGGGATGGCCCTCCCCTAACTCCGCCCATGTCGGCGACATCCGGCGATTGTGTGCGCAGGGGGTAGGGGTGTTAGTGCGTTACCCGTTTCTGGAGCTTCTTTTCCTTAGATTATTAGAGCTGGACTCTTATTTTGCTCTGGGCCAAATGTTTTTACACTGGGTCAGTTTTATTTTTGCACTAGGCCATTTTCTAAAAAATAATTAAACTGTATATATAATACAAAAATAAAATAAAAAATGCCCTGGGCCATGGCCCAGCCAGGCCACCCTTGACTTTTAAATTGATGCAATATACAAGTATACTATATACGTAGTACCTAGTGGTATTTATAAGATTTTTTTTCTTACAAAACATTGAATGGTAGAAGTTAAATTTGACTCAGATTTGGAATTTAAAATATGTCTTTTCTTAAATATTATAATTTCATTCTCTTTCCTACTTTTTCACTTAAACACAAGTACACAACACACTACACCGTTTAGGTTACCCTTATTATTTTCCTTTTAAAACTTGTGCCATATCTTAGTGGGACAAATATTGGAGAATGAGGGAGTATGATATTTCATCTAAACTTTAACTTGATATGACTACACAGTACAAATATATTACGGGATTGACACGAATTTACCGATTTTTCGTGCCAAATAAACTCGTGCCAAAATGTTTTTGTCAAAGAAGGATCCTTCTTTATTTTTTTTTTCAAATCTCTACCAAAATATCTGTCAATCCCGTGTTTTTTGTATTGATACGATAGAGTAACATATACGGAGTATGATCTTTATATCATTTTACTCCACATATACTCGGTATAATTTTGAACTACATCGATGGGGTACGGTGGTACCCCGTACTAGTATTTCAAAACGCTCTCAATCCAAAAACTGCTCTCTACAAACGTCGTATAATGAAAGCATATCGGAAGTTATCCTGATTATTTGAAGATATGAAATTCCATAACAAAACGTTAAGAGCCCGTTTGGTAGCACCAAAATCGACTGTTTTGGCTGATTCTGCTGAAATTTCTGAAGTTCTGGCTGAAGTGCTGCATTGGCTGATTCTGTTGATTTAAGAAACAATTATTTTTAAAATATATTTTATTAATAAAATAAAGAAAAAAATATATGTAAAAATAGTTAAAATGGTCATCTACAGTAACTTCAGCCAAAACAGCCAGAAAAGTAACCCCAACCTTACTTTTTCTGCTTATTACACAACTCAACGCGCGAAAGTAAAAGTTACGTGTTTGGTTAAAAAGTTGGCTGATAAGCCTGATAAGCCGAAAAATAGTGCTGCCAAACGGCCTCTAAATATTATTATTATGAATAATTTATGATTTTATTATTTTACTTAATTACTCTATTTTTTGTACGGAGTATACTAATACTAGATCTAGGGCCGGCTCAATAGATTAGGAGACCCGGTGCACATCACGTAAAATAGGTCTTATATTAAATAAATACAATATAAAAAGAAGCCTTAAAAAATAACCCAAAAAAGACTACAATCGAATGTGACATTGAGATATAATCATCTTTGGAACCTGAACAACCAAAATTGGTAATAAAAAAATGAAAAGAAATGAATTAAAATCATGAACTAAAAAATATAGAGTAGGATATTACTGGAAAAAACTACGTACTCTCCGTCTCTTAGAACCAAGCTCGTCTAAACTGTACGAGAAATTTGTGCTAATTACTATAACTAGGCCTTATCCAGGCTTTGTGTAATAAAGAAGTTGCACATTTAACTTAACAATGGCATGTTAATTAAATACATATAGATATTAGTATTTAATGTTTGTATTTAAAAACAAAATTCTAAAATAGGAATCTTTAATCAAATAAAAAAGAATTTTGTATAATATATAGACTATATTTAAAATTTTGGTCTACTGAATTGAGACGCCTTGTGCGCGCGGTATCACTTCTTGTACTTCCGTTTGTAATTTAATAAAAACCTGCCACAGTACACGTTCTCTGCCATGCATGCAATATGCCGGCCTGGCATGCGCTGACTATTCATATGGTTGTATTGGCATTTAATTGTCATTTAAATTAATAACAAGTTGTCAATGAATTATTCTTTTTTATTTTGAGGAACTAGTCAATGATATTTCGATCTAAGAATCTGTAGTTAAAAAAAGAATCTTGGTCATACAGAGATCAACCGCTTATTTGATAACACCGAAATTAATTTGAAATTGTGAAATTCTAAATATAAGGCTAATTAAATTAGCCGAATCTATAGAATAATGAAAAAAAGTATATGGAAGAATTAAAGAATATTTAAAATAGTCACTGTGATCAATTTCAATCCCTTCGGTCCGAAAAGTAACCGCAATCTTATTTATTCTGGTAAAAATTGCTAATAAATTCCCAGTATATAAATTACTTAATTAATGGGATCTAAACATGCATTTATCAATTAATTAATACGGAGTAATAATAATAACAACAATAAAAATTATTATTATTATTATTATTATTATTATAATAGTAATGTAATTTATAATTTTACATCCATACACCCGTACTATTCGACACTTGGCGGTTACCAAAGTGAAATTAATTCATTTTCAATTAATCCCTTATTACTAAGAATTCCAAGTAATGATTTGGAATTGTTTTTTACATCTCCATCCGACTCGATCGGCAGTTACGTTACATTTGCATACATGTAGTGCAAAGCTAATCAACCCCTTAATTTTTGGAGGAAATAACTGCTTATTTATTACTTAGTGGATGACATTATTGGAATTAAAATAAATAATAGAAGCATGTGTATGACCATGTGCGGTATAGGATCATTAGATTAGGAAAAATACTTAGGGAATCATGTTTTGAGAACTATATGTTCTTTTAACCATAAGAGGGGTAATTTTCTCAAAACTTACCCATGGTTGCGTGTGTGAAAGTTGACCCATATCTTTTAATTTAGGAATATGTGTACCTAGTATATAGTTGAGGGTGGGTGAAAGTTATAAAGAGATATATGCCTAATGCATCTCTTTATCATGTGCTGCATTAAATAAAATGTGATACCTAATTTCATTCTAAACTTTCTTTTTGGTACTCCACACGTAACTACGTAAGTACTGATGTGTATATATAGTGTCACGTTTTACATTTGAGATCACTCAAGACACTCTATTTTGCTCTTAGCTTCTTTCCCCATTCAACAGAAATTCATGTCTAGAATAATGCATTTCATGAACTTTCGTGCTGTTTTTATGCTCTTAGGCTTTCTCTTAGTGGCAGTTGCCACTCACTTTTGTGCCATGGATTTGCAAGAAATTGCCCAAAAGTTGAATCTTGGATCAACCATAGCATGCTCATCATACTTAGTGTTTTTTTTGGGTGTGCTCTATTTCATCATGAACAGGCCAAGAAATGTGTACTTGGTAGATTTTGCATGTTACAAGCCCAACTCTGATCTGATGTGCCCTACTGAGCTATACTTGGAAAGGTCAAGAATAGCCAAAGTTTTCACAGAGGAAAATATTTGTTTCCAGAAAAAGATTTTGGAAAGATCTGGACTGGGACAAAAGACATATTTCCCACAATCCATTATGAGTTTGCCTGCTAAGCCTAGTTTGGCCCAGGCAGAGAATGAGGCCAAAATTGTCATCTTTGGATGCATTGATGAGCTGTTGGCTAAGACTGGGGTGGAAGGGAAGGATATTGGGATAGTTGTGGTTAATTGCAGTTTGTTTAGCTCAACCCCAACACTTTCTGCTATGGTGGTTAACCACTACAAGCTTAATAGCAATGTGAAGAGTTTCAACCTTAGTGGCATGGGCTGTAGTGCTGGACTCATCTCCATTGACCTTGCCAAACATCTCCTGCAGGTCTCATCTAACCCTTCCTCTCATTACATGTTTATGGAGAAAATATATGGAGCACACTGGCGTGATGAATGACTAATTCATTCATCTAAAATATTTACAGAATCTCGATCATTCATTGTGCATATGGTCATGTTTGATATATTTTCTCAAGTTATGTTTCGAATTTTTAACAAGGTTCACAGCTATATCTCATGCATGTGAGCTGTTTTTTATAACACCAGGGGGTGTCAGGGAGGGAGATTTGGGGGCCTGGGGTAAAACTGAGATCAATCTCACTCCATTAATTAGGAATTGAACCCGGGACCTCCCTTAAGGGAGAGTGAGTCGGTGACCAGCTGAGCTGGACCGCTTCCTCTATGAGCACATTTCTTAATTAACTAGATTCGTTGTCCTCTTCATCAGTTGGATCAATCTTCTTATATTTTAGGTCACTATTTAAATTAACAAACTTGCATTCCTTTGAGTTACATCATATCATTCTTTCTATCATATTAGTTTCAAAATAGTGTAAACATACACATGCATCCCAACAAATGATCAAAATTCATCCAAACTTTTACTTATTTATGGGGAATTTACTCAAAAACAAAAATCGGTTTCCATAAATAATACGTAGTAGTATAGTTTTTTTTTTTACCGGAATCGGAATAAAGTAGAACCTTATGAAATCATATTGTCATATTATCAAGCATTAATACCACATAATTAATGTCATAAGCCCATAGTCTGACAATACTCTGCTCATATATACGGAGTAGAGAAATGAAATTGTTTTTATTCGTATTTGCAATGATTTCCTTTATATATCGGTGACAACTCCGGTACCCTTCTAAAAAATGGGGTACCGTACCTACCATTCACTTGATTGGACCACATCACTTTATGATTTTTAATTTAGATTTAAATAATTCAATTGCTACATCCTCATTTGTCCATGTGGACAAAAGTATGATACCTTATGGGTACCATAGAATTCACCTTATATATTTAGGTGAATCGCGCAAAAAAAATCATCCAAAGCCTATATTAAAAATAAAAGATTAAAAGGACACAAAATTTTGAGAAAAGATTCTGTTTGTAGTTGGGTTGACTTGGTCGGCGAGGGCTTAATTGCTACCCCAGCTCACCGAGAGAGTGAGAGTACATATATAATAATTTCATAGCTTATTTCCAGCCCTGCATATTTCAATTCTATGGTCATTTTAGAAGTTCAAAGGTTAATAGCATTATGCTCATACTGTTTCATTGTAAGGCATGGGATACCCTTTCTTCCATTGGCTATATAAAAAATGACATTTGTACTCACTTTTATATTCACCCATGCTTGTGAAGGTTATTTTGTCTGTGAGATCCGTTCAGAAAATATTTTGTTTGTGAAAAATTTGCACAGACAAAATAAGACATATTTTGTCTGTGGGCCGGGTCCATAGACAATAAAAAACCCACAAACATAGTGAGTATAAAGTGGCAATAAGTAAGGGTGGGTTGGAGAAACCAAAAATCGAAAACCGAATCGGAAAAACCAGAATCGCAACCCAAACAACCGAACCGCAAGAAAACCCAAACCGAACTCAAAAATCCGAACCAAACTGCAGTTGTTTGGTTTCGATTTTGGTTTTCACATCTCAAAACCGAACCGAATAAACCGAACTTTTTAAAACTTGTTATTTTATTTATTAATCATTAAATATATTATTTTGTTTAGTTATTTGTTCTTAATTCTAGAAAATTAATGTTGGATACTAGATTTATTATGATTTGCAAGATATTGACATTTAATATATACGATAGTATGATTTAATTAAGTGAAAGACTGTACATACACTTAAGTCTATTGCTATGATATTTTAAATCGTAATTTACCTTTTGTTTGTTGTTGCGTGACAATGATATTTTGTTGATATATTATATGTTATGTATGTTTATTATCACTCAGTATATGAGCGGAGTATTATGCTCATATACTATGATATACTCCGTATTATGCTCTAAAGTGACAATGATATATTATGCTCTAAAGTTTAGAAATCATAAGTCCGTGATAATGAAAACGTTGGGTTGAATCCCCTACCCCAAGGTTCCCCACACCCCGACCCGACAATGCATTTGAGAGGTTGTAAGTCACGTAGATCTTGTACCCGTGCACATAGAGGTCCAATCTAGCACATTAATATTCTTTATCCTTCTTGAATTCCATAGGACCACACCTTTGTTTTCAAGCTAACCATCGTTTTCTTCTCTCTTTCCTCAACCCCACTGCTGCTAGTTGATGTCAATGTGCCCCCGCCCCTCCGGCTCTATTGCCCCTCATTCTTCCTCAGCTTATATCTTCCAAATGCAGTTGACTACATGGTGGGGCTAGCTAAGGGACGCGTGAAATTTCATTGAGGGATGGTGTAAATCACATACACTTGATTGAAAAAGTAGATATTTTTTCAATATTTAATACAAGTCAAAACCACATGCAATTTAGAATTATTTTGGTGTGGTCTGGAACTGAAACCAGTTCAAAAGAAAACATCCCAGATACTATAAAAGTTAACAATTTCTTCTACGATCCAATATGTCTTCTCAAGATTCCTAGCATTTCACACTTTGATTGCCTTTTTTTGCTTGCCCAAATGGGAGAATACATACAAGCTAAGTCTCCTTCACTTCTTTCCTTGCCTACCTATATACGGAGTAATTTTCTGCACCTAACTTGTCAACTTGTCTCGAAACGCAAGATGGCATGGAATTTAACAATAACGTACAAAATCCTTTGGAAAGTCAGCATCAATGCTACACAGTACAATAATAGAATCTCATACGGAGTACGAGCTAGTAGTCACTAGTCAGTGGTGTAGCCAAGGCGGAGTCGGGTTCTAGCTTTGCCTCTTAGCTAGTTAGCTACGCCCTTTGAGTATTTTTTACAAATGGGCCAATTAATATGAAACAATACATGATACTCCTTATCAGGGCCGTCTAATGAATTTGTACCTCCGGTTCAAAATGACAAATTGAGGCCACTAAGACAAGAAAAATGCAAATTTTGACAATGAAATACAAATAATACAGACAATTCAATAAAATATAAGTTTTATAATGTTTAAAGTCCATAAATTAGAGAATTTAAAGGTTATATGCCTTTTGAAATCTTGAATAATACATGAAATCTAGAAAAATCAACCTATAACTAATATTACCCTCTAAATTTTTGGAGGTCCTCTACAAGAGTAGGCCCCGGTGTCGAGCACCTATTGCACCTTTTAAAAGACGGCCCTGCTCCGTATGTATCAATGGATAAGAAATATGAGATGGATGAACATATAAGTTAAGATAAAAAAAGATAAATACAAAGTTTCGTACCAAAATAATAACTAAAATGATGATATTTATAATTTGAGATTCCTGTAATGACTGTATTCGTGCTTTATTTAACTATATACGAAGTATATACATAACTATGATGAGTGTTTTCGCAAAAATAGTGGTGGAAATTAAAATAGTTCCTAAATTATGACCAAATAAGAAATTAAGAATAATGGGAAACATTAGTCATACCTAAGAATAATGGGTTTTTTCTTTAAATATGAAAAAATGAAATCAGCTCAAAAAATTGATTAATTTTACATATTAACAAAATGTGATTTATAAAGTAATAAAAGTAGAAAATTAATCATGCATGTCATTGGCAGTTTATAAACATTTTTAAAGATTAGAGATAATATTTACATTTTTTGCAAGGTTTATTATAAACATAGGTCTTTATTATAATAGTAGTAGTTCTTAGAGGGTGTAAATATTTCGGCATTTACGATGTTCATTGTTTTATTGTTATTTATTAACTGAGCATATAATAAATTCTACTAGTATATCAACTAATCAAGTAATGAGCTACGACATACAGTGTCCACCTGTGGTTGAAGTCAACACTTGTCATAAGGGTTTTGTATTTGAAAGATCTCTACAATAGATTGGGCACAACATTTAAGAGTGAAATAATAGGGTAATCAATATTGTAGAAAAAATAAGAGAGAAGGTGTAAAAGTATGAAAGAGAAGATAAAAAGTAATGAGTAGGAAAAGTAAGGGGTAATTGAGTACTTTTAAAAAAAAAACTTACCAAAAATGGAAAGTGTAACAAACTTTAAAATACGGAGGGAATAATTTTTTCCGCAAAACTTTCTAATTTATTACGTATTATATTTGTTCTATGTTAAGCCCAACCTTCTTGGACTTGAGATGAAATTTAAACATGTGACCTTATATTTGATAGTGTCACAGTAATGTCATTGGACCGTACTTGGCATTGTACGTAATAATTTCGATGTTAGATGTTCTTACTTAAATTTAATAGAAAAATATACCTAATACAAGATTCATTAGACCAAATCAATTTATTGTAAATTCTATCAAACAGATTAGATTATAAAATTTCAGCATGAGTGGAAATATTCATACAATTATGATTTTATGAAATTTCATCAATAAAAAATTTGAGATATGTAATTTTGCTTCAAAAGTTCTAATTATCTTGGATTGAGATTTGTCGGTCATACGTACCCATTAATATTATTGGACGGGGTCATATTTATAAAATCTTCGGCCGGGTATCAAATGAGTAAGCCTGACCCAACTTATAAAAGCACAACACATTAACTAGGGGTGGGCATAACGGTTTGGTTTAACCGAACCGAACCGTACCAAACCGAACCGAAACCGGACCATATGCAATTTGGTTTGAGTTTGGTACTATTTTTTTCAAACCGTATTAAACCGAACCGAACCAAAATCGATAACAACCGAACAAAACCGAACCGAACTAAAGAAACTCAAAAATCTTTCATATATTATTAAAATTGGTGGTTAGATTTGGTTTGGTTTAGGTTTACTTAAGTAAAATGTTTGGTAAACATTTGTTCAAACCAAATGTTTTGGTACTTTGGCTTGAATTGATTTGCTTTAAAACGGAAAACCGTAAACCGAACCGAACAACACAGACACACACACACTTTGTATTTACCTTCATGACCCTTCATTTTTAAGATATAAATAAATAATTTAGACATGAAAATACATATTTTAAGCATATACTCATATCATTTTAACTTTTACACATTTCATACAATCATTGTGACAAAGTTAGCTAATACGACATATTTGTATTTATTATGTTTGGCGATAACAGTAGGAAATTGCATTTATATTTTTACATGATTCATTTGAATAAAATTGGGAATATTACAACATTTGTACCACCGACTCTTTTAGGTTTTATGGATATTTTATGTGATATTATAAATGCTTATCATTACATCTTTTGTAGTGATAAAAAAGATGTTAGAAGTTTCAATTTATAATATTTTTTTATCTTTTATTTTTTTTACATTTTATTTAAATAATCAATAAATTAAAAAAGATGAGATGGACTACTACTTTCATTTTCTAATTCGAAATATAGAACTTAATCAAATAAAATAATAAACATAAGCAAACGTATCAAATCAAACTAAATTAAACATAATATTTTGTACTTTAGTAAACCGAACTTCAAACCGAACTGAACCGGAACCGAACCGAAACACAAATGATTTTAGTTTGGTACAAATTCTCCCAACCCGAATAAACTGAAATCGAACCGAAACCGAAGAAAACCGAACCGTAAATCGAATTGCCCACCCCTAACATTAACACATCATGAAATCAGTTTCGTCAGTCCGAATTGACCATTTTAATAGCTCCAATTTATTGACACTTTTAACTAATTATTAATATCTAATCACATTAGTCTTGCAAAAAATATCTAATCACATTAGTGTATCTCTTCGATCTCCCCCTCCAGTATCTTAAACCGGATACTGGAGTACTTAAAAAAAACATTTTTCAGCTTTTGGCTTAAAAAAGTTGAAAATAGTGTTTTCAATCACTTAAACTGCTTTTCACTTTTTCTATTACACAAAAAGCACTTATTTTATCAAACACTACCGATTTTTACTTTTTCAGAATAATTTTTTCTCAAACACTACCAACTTTTAAAAGTAGAAGCAATTGCAAAGATCAATGGTTACGAATCAGATGGAATAAGACATTTTTACTTTTTTGTCCAATTTAAACCGGTATTGGGAAAAATCGGAATTGTGTGGGACATCCCAAAAGAAAATACAACAAAAAACATGTACAATTTCATACTCCGTATATCCTTCCATCTGCGCCCCCACATGAGAGTCATACTATCCTCCGTTTCTTTTTAATCGCAACATGTTGAATTTTACACTATTCACGTGTTCTACATTGACTACATTTTACAGTATTAGTTTACGAAAATTATTTTTTAAAAAAGATATTGTTCAATTCATCTCATTACAAATTTTCAAAATCTGATTTTTAATTATTTTTAACTAATAGAGATTAAGATATAATTACGGTCAAAGATGTGCGTTGGCAAATGTGAAATGTTGACCGTTGTAACTAAAAAAGAACGGAGGAAGTATAAGATACCTCTCTATCACACTTTGTAAGATATTTTTTTTAGGTTGTCCTAGAAATATGAACATCGTCGTAAATTGAACTTCACTAACTTTTCACATTCTCACTTTATCACTTATTGATCATTTTATCCTTTACTTTTTGTGGATTAATTATGTTACTCTTTCTTCCTTTTGGAAGTTGAAATTGTAAAACAATCATTTTATTCTTTATTTTCTTAAAAACCCCACTAAACACACATATATCTTACATTATGTGATTGACGTAATAATTCGTAAAAGGTCGAGAGGTACTTATGCCTTAGGATTGTCTCTTGGACTAAATTTTCCCAATAAATGAGACGGATATAGGGGATAGCTTAGGTAGAAATTATTGATTACACTTATTAGGATGACATTAGAACTTATTAGTGGGGATCTAGGCTACGAAAATAAATATGCTATCACTCCGTGCTATAATTTGAAAACGAGACAACGGAACGGAACGATTTACACTTACTCTCTCCGTCTCCGAAAGAAGTTCCTCATTTTACTTTCACACACTTTTATCTAAGTAAACTTACTAAGGATAAATTTTACTGTTTTAACACTGTTTGGCACTGTTTGGATGTAGATAACTTTCCATTTAAGGAAATGAGAACTTAAATTAAGGACATCTAAACAAGGAAATTGAAGACTTCTTTCGAGGAGTATTTTATCTGTCTCGATCCCATTCTATTTGAAAATAATTCAAGATTGGTACCGGGCAAATATAATTCATCCCGGTTAAAACCGGACAATCCTGGAATGGAACCAGAACATTACGGAAGAGGTTGACGGGGTTAGGCCAAGTCTTTTTCCCACCCCTAACCGACACCATGTATAGAGATATGATGATTATGTACATTTACGAATATTCAACATATAAACAATATCTATTAGACTATTACACAATCAATTTCTTCAGACATCTCTCAATAAAATTTATAGCTATTAAGATGACAATTACCTTAACTAATTTCCTTTTAATATGTAATTTTATGAATGAATTTGTCATATCATATACTACCTCCGCTTTTTATTTAGTCACCTTTGACATTTCTAGTCAAAGATTATATAGTTTGATCCATTACTTTAACTAATATATTTATGTGAAATTTGATAAATTTATACTTTTATGGTAATTATTTAACAAAGAACATTTCTATATTATTATCTTATTATCAATATTATCGTGTATAAATATATAATCAGTCAAAGTTTAACATTATTCACTCAAAAACTAGTGTTTGGTTAAATAAAAAAGGGAAAAGGTGCAAATAGGCCCATGTACTAACCAAAAAAGGTCAAATAAGCCCTTATTTAGGAAGTTCTGTCCGGCCGTCGTCATTTGGGGTGATTCCCGGTGGATTTTTTTGATGATATTTTTTGAGCATCTTATTCATCAAGTCTAGTTTGCTCATACCAAATTTCAGCTAAAACTTCAATCGGGAAGGCATTCAAATGAATTCTTGAAGATAACTGCGCTTCTAACTGCGCAGTTATTTTCAAGAATTCATTTGAATGCCTTCCCGATTGAAGTTTTAGCTGAACTTTGGTATGAGCAAACTAGACTTCATGAATAAGATGCTCAAAAAATTTCATCAAAAAATTCCACCGGAAACCACTCCAAATGGCGACGGCCGGACAAAGCCTCCTAAATAAGGGCTTATTTGACCTTTTTTGGTTAGTACATGGGCCTATTTGCACATTTTCCCAATAAAAAAAGGAATTGTTTGTGTGTATAGGTATGAAATTACTAAACAAAAGTTTTTAGCATTACCTCTTAATCTTCTCTTATATAAAAGAAATATTAATTTCAAGTGCTTCTTCAATGTTGTGTAATTAACAGGTAACACCGGACACGTGTGCATTGGTGATTAGCTTAGAGGTTCAGGCCCTCAATGGGTACTACGGCAATGACCGTTCCATGTTGATGTCCAACTGCATATTCCGTCTCGGCGGCGCGGCGGTCCTTCTGTCCAACCGCTCCTCCGACCGCCGCCGCTCAAAATACAAGCTCGTCCACGCCATTCGTACAAACAAGGGCGCCGATGACAACAGCTACTCTTGCGTGTTCCTCAAGGAAGACGACGCCGGCCTTGTCGGCGTCTCACTCTCCAAAGACCTCATGGCCGTCGCCGGAGAGGCTTTGAAGATGAACATCACCACGCTCGGCCCGCTCGTCCTCCCCGTCTCCGAGCAGCTCATGTTCTTCCTCACGTTAGTCGCGAGGAAGCTGTTGGTAAAGAGTAAGAAAAAGATCAAGCCATATATCCCGGACTTTAAGCTCGCTTTCGAGCATTTTTGCATCCACGCTGGCGGGAAGGCGGTTCTCGACGCCATCGAGAAGAGTCTAGAACTCGGTGAGTGGCACATGGAACCTTCTAGAATGACACTGTACAGGTTTGGGAACACTTCGAGTAGTTCTTTGTGGTATGAGTTGGCTTACACGGAAGGTAAAGGGAGGATCCGAAAGGGGGACCGGGTATGGCAGATAGCATTCGGGTCGGGTTTCAAATGCAACAGTACAGTTTGGCGGGCTTTGAAGAATGTAAATGCAGCCAAGGAGAAGAGCCCATGGATGGATGAGATTGACCAATTTCCAGTACCAAAGAATTTGACATAATTTTTTCTGTGAGGTGTAATAAATAAAAATGATACCTCCGATCATGCTGTAGTAAGTTTTTCAATATTATTATTCTGGTATTCTCCTAAGAGATGGGTAATTATCAGGTGTAATCTTTATTCTTTAGTTATACTCTAAGTATCTTGTAGATACTCCTAAGTATCTTAAAATTCGTATAGGTAGAATTTGGAAGATGGATAAGAGCAAATATGATATTTTTGCCAGATTTTTATAGATAATGTATGAGTGATTTCCCTTTATAAGGTAAAACATTCAGAGTAACAGTTTTTCTTAAATTTATGTACAATGTATCAATTTTCAAATAGGAGTAATGTATGATAGACATAAATACCTTTGTTTATACAATTTATCTTTCATTATACAAAACAATTTATCATTCATACAAAAGAAATTACTCCCTATAAAATTAAGCACAATTTGACACTTGTGATTAACTTGAATTTTTACTTCAAAGTGAGGCATGTTTCCTCAGTCAAGGTTAGGCTAGGCTACGCGACAAAACTGCAATTGAATGATCCTTATGTTTATATATGGGCTTTGCTCAAACCCAATTGTTGTAAACTCAGGATTCAATAGTTGAAGCTCATATATACTCCATCACGAGTCACTCAATCTTGACGCGAAAGTACTCAAGAAGTCAAGATGAAACAGACTGGGGTTCTTCCAAGCCTTTCTTGCCGGATTCTCACCAAAGCTAGCGCAGCTCACAATTTGAATTGGTTCATTGTTGGAATATAATGTGTTTGTCTAATCTTAAGTTCTTCATAGCCCCGTCCCCGGATTTTTACTTGCATCATCGTTGTACACATGTAATTCGGGGCAGAGAAGTTGGAAAATAAATACTACATGGAGAGGAATTACTAGACTGCATATATGGAATCTCGACAGAGACACATAAAATATTTTAGCCGAGGTTTTGAGTGGCACTACCGGATAAACATTTAAAAGTAATTGTGGTATTGATTTACTTTGGTTAAGAGTTAATGTACAAAAATGCATCAATACAAGTAGTTAAGGAATCATTTATACATTCCCCTTTTATTTTTCACTTTTGATATGAAACTCCTAGCTTTTAGGTCCTGTTGCGACCGGGTAAAGTCGTTGACTCTATTTGCAATAATTTTCAGTTTCCATCATTTATATGTGGCCGTGTCTTCTTTATATGCGCAAATGAACATGCACATGGTCAAATCATATGGTCATGTTAGTTTAGGTGTTCGAGTTCAAGAAATTTGATCAAAGTATTGCCAACTAGTTTTGAATTGAGGTTCGTTGTATATATTTTCTGGTTTTCGATCAAGATCTTAGCTCATTTGGATAATTCTAAACTTGAATATATAGTTCTTGAGAGAAAAATAGAATGAGGATATTAACTCGATCACAACTCGATCACTAATATAGTCTCATCGGTAAACGTACAACAATTACATTATCCTGCATCGTTTCTAATTCGTGGTAAGAACTACACTTATATTTGCAACATAAATAATGACTTGAATTTCAGTCTAGAGCCTCTCCAACCGTACACACATTATGCAACAAATGATATAGTGTAAAATATAATACAACTAACCAACTTCTTAAATTGAAGATTCAATTCACGTTTACTCTTTCTAGCTATCTTCCAAACAATTCTATTAGACAATATGAAGTACGGGTTATAATTTTATATACAGTATATAATTGTCATCATATTCCAATTAAAAACAACAATTTTAATTTGACATAGATTTGTCATGAATTGACACTACAATTTGTTACAACTTAAAATGCCTTTTATCTCAATTCTAATTTTGAGATTTTATCCCCGTATGACATTTTTATCTCAGTACGCATGTGATAAAAGATAAAAGGCAGTACATTTGGCATGATAAGTAATTGGATCCTTTACCATACGGAGTATCAATTACTGCATCTATCCCGGTTTAAGGTTCCCATTACAAAATGTTACACTTATTTAAACAATAATTAAATAAGGTAATAAGAGTATATTTTGAGAAAAAATTTGATGGTTACATAATATAATGGGATTATTGATGACAAACTAGATTCTCACATTCCTTAATTCAGTGCTGCTCTCTGTGAATCACGAAGCTTCCAATAGTCTTTGTGGATGAGTCGAAGTCCTCAGGCGAAGAATCACCTCGCTGGTTGACGATCTATCTATCTCGTGGTAGCCCAATCTTTTACACCGACTACCGACTACGATCTATATTGATACATCTATTAACTACAATATTTGTGTAATTGATTTTTCCCGACTCGGTCAAATGCATGCTTCCAATACTTATGGTTTTTTTAAACAAAAGAAACATGTCAAGATTTGTGATTCTGTGGTACGAATCTGTCAATGTATGAGTTAAGTATGATTATTTTTCTTCCAATGAAATGAATGGATTTGATAATTATTGTCGGTAAACCTAACGTGAATCATGACTCTTGATTCTAAAATCTTTGGGAAATGAGATTTGCGGTAACCCTTTGTAACACATATAGAGTAAGATCTTACTCTATACCAACATTTTCTGTGTAAAAGTCCATGCTCTGACATTAAATGATTTTGTGTTATTAATCTAATTGGCTTCAACTAATAGATATCTTTTAATTATCTATTAGCTTGTAGCATGAATATGCACTCCCTATCAGTTAAAGTGAATGTTAACCTTAGAAGAATGCTCTCCACCCCTATCATAGTTGTCACAGCAAAAGATCATCGATTCTAAAATAGTTTTAGGTTAATTAGTGTGGAAACATGTAGAAAACTAAACGATACATTAGTGTTTTCTTAAAATAGTGAGATGATTTTTTTTGGATGAAATGTAAGTATATATATATAAACACCCAAAAATAGCATTTTACAATGCATCAAACAGACCTCAATGACTATCTAAGCTAGAAAAGACTAACCTAGGTATAATAATTCAATTAGAAATGGGACAACCCCCACATCACAAAATCAAAATAAACTAACTAACTAAAATGAAGTATCAAATGCCAGCTAAAATCGGCAACTCCCAGCGAATGCAACGAAGTAGCAATTCCAGACAGAAATTCTAGCATAATCCCTCAAAATCACAAAATAGGAAAACCGAAACAGAAGCTATTTTTTCTTCACATTTGTCCTGCCCCTAAAAAGTTTTGGAAGAACCATCTTCTTTTTAGCAAATGTTTCCTCCCAACTTAAACCTGGAAATCTCCTTATCATTCTATTTTTGTTCACATTAGCATCTTTCCTAATCGTAAAAACCTTACCATCCATATAAACTTCATCAAAGTCCGGACCCAAGTCCTCATCCCCCGAGCTCACGTCGAATAATATACTGAGCTCTGACTTTCAATCCTTTCCAGCACTCTAGCGCCAGATTGCTTAATCTCCTCCTCCTCCTCCTCCTCCTCCTCCTCCTCCTCCTTCTTCTTCTTCGTCTTCTTCTTCTTCTTTTTAGCGGTTTTGTTGATATCCAGCACATCAGATTCAGTGTCCAGGTCCAAAGTGGGTTCTGCTTCGCTAGCCTGCACCAGCGTTGGCTTATCACATTGAAGCTCACTGGCCATAGTAGTTTTTCGGTTCAGTTTCCTTGTCCTGCACGGCAGCCAGCGCTGCACCACGTTCTGGCGCAGCAGCAGGTTTTGGGGCAACTTCAGTTTCTAGAGCAGCAGCAGCCTCCAAAATGGGTTCCTCCACCTGTGCTGGATTAGATCGGTCTTCTTCCGTTACCTGCACGGCAGCCGGCGGTGAGGTAGGTAGCTCATTCACGATCTTATCCGCCTCTCCAACCATAACATCATCCCTTGAGCAATTTCCTCTCTTGTCTTTTCATTTGCAACCTCTTTATCAACAAATTGGGCAATTTCAGCATCCCTTTTCTCCTTACTAATCCTGGCCAGTTCATTGCAAATAAACGGATGATGTCCGTATTCTTTGCAATGGAAGCAATAGTCAGGGAAAGTTTCATATACCACCATTTGTTTGAATACCTTTCGAGAAGGTAAACGTATGGGAAACGATAGCGGTGGTGGTTTCGAAACATCAACCTCGATTAGTACTCTAGCAAAGTGGTGGTTGGTTTTTTCCTGGGTAACCTTGTCCGTAGTTAATGGGACGCCCACCATAGATGTTATTTCGCACATAGCTTCATCATTCCAAAGTTTTAACGGTAGATTAGGGAATTTAACGCAAATCGGTACCTTTAAAAATTCTTCGTCAGTAAACGAGAAATCATCAGAGAGTTCCTTAAGCATCAAGAGTTTCCCAAAAATGTTATACGGCCCTTCATTGAGTACTTTAGCTCTATCAACTTCATTTTGAAATTTGAAAATGACCCATCCCTTGTCATGGGACCTAATCAGGCACCTCACACCCCATTTTTCTCTCAGTTCATAAATGGCTTTAAGGCCAGGGAATCTCCCTGTGAAGCATCCAACAAGGCAGTGGCTCCACATATCAATCATGGATGGTAGAGCCCTCCCAGCAAAGTCCAAAGAGTTGCCTTTTGGCAGAACATATTTCAACTTCATGCCATGCGCCGGAGCTCGGTTGTCTTTAAAAAGGTTAGACCATGGTTTCAGACCTATTTGACTTAGTTTGGAATCAACCGTAGGAGTCACAACAGTTGGAGCAACAGTAGTTTCATGGTTCCTGGAAGGTATCCCAGTGAAATTAGTCACCACAGCAGTAGCATCTTTAGCAATTTCAGGTTGCTTAGTAGCAGTATTGACCAAACCAAGCTGCCCAAGTATCTTAGTAGCATCCCCTGCATTCACAATAGCTTTTGCATCAATAGAAACAGCCCCATTTGCATCAATAGAAACAGCCCCAAGTTTGATTTCAATCTTCTTGATGCCATTACTGTTAAGAGGTGAGAGTACAGTCCCATCTTCTTTCAATTCCTTCCCAGAAGACAGGGGTGGGAATTCATCATCCCTTCCTGCCAAAACCTCAAACCGGGATGAGGACCTGGTACTTCGCACATTGGATGATTCCCCAGTCCCGGTAGTCCGCTGTTTGTTTTTCCCCATAGTAGCAGGTCTGCAACACAGAAAATAACTCCTTTGTGCAAGACCGGACCCCAGCACACCAGCAAACTGCAGCCCACAAACTGAGAGTGTCACTCAGTACACATGGGCGTAGCACAGTCACGTAGTATTCTACCCGTCCCCCCTGAAACTGAGCATCGAAGCAGTCTAGAAAAACAGGTGCGATGAACAGTGTGGTATTCTGGGCTTCAACTATTCTCACTCACGAACAGGGCAATTAGTTCGTCTAAGGGAGATAAACACCAAACAAACCTTCAAATC